GTTTTTTTTTGCAAGAAGTTGCTTGGCTGAAGAAGGGAAAAAAAATCAAATACATATGTTGTTTCGTTTTTCTTTTTTTTATTTCCTATGGGAATTTTTATTTGTTGGGAAGTTTTTTGGTAAATAAAAATTCGGTGCATATGCTTTCTTCATTAGAGAAATTGGAGTTGGGGATAAACAAATTATTTTTTCCTGTAAAAAAAAAAAATCATGCCGCAAAAGAAAAGGCTGGCTGCCATTGAAACATTTTTGATAGAAAATCTGCCTGCAGCCCTACTGCTTAATCAGTTTGGAGCAGAGCGTAGCCTGTAGCTTGTTAATAAGAGCAGCTTGCCCGAGCAGTTCGCACAATGGTGAGCTGCAGAGGAGGCTTGTTGCATAGCTGTGGATTTTATTTTGCAGCTCTGTTAATTAAAACATATTTTACTTTGAAGGAGGTTTTTACTGTTTTCTATGAGGGTGAGCAGAAAACTGTTCTCCTGGATAGATTAAAGGAGGGATATGAAGTATTTTTTTAGAAGTAACAACTTAACTTTGTTTGATGGGCAAACTCTTAGCAAAAACAATGTGTAGTTTCTTATTTTTATTTGTTCTCAGTCCTTGTATACAGGCTGGTTTATGAGTCTGAATATCTCGGCTGTTTTGATAATATCAGACCAAATTTTCACATAGAAGTTGCCAGACTGGAACAGAAAACTTGTCACAGATTCTTGTTTAATTGATAAAGTAATTTTTACTTATACAAGGGTAAGCTAAAATAATAAGGCCTGAAACTGTGCCATTGAAGTTAATGACAAACCCTTCATAGGTTTCATATAAAGCCTGTATTTTTATTATCCCAGTTCCAGCGACTTTTGTTGCAAGTTTGCAGCAAAATGTTAGGGCATTTCTAAGTGTTATTTTTATTATACAAAATCCCATTAAAATCAGTACTGAAGCATCCCATTAATTTAAATGGGACTTTGCATAGTTTGCTGAGTTCCAGGCCACAGATAAAGAAAAGTATGCAATTTGGAGTTAAACTGACCACAGCTTTTTATTAGAAGACATTTAATCTCGAATGAACAGCGCAGTCTGAGGCATAAAGTCTTTGTGAACTTCATCTGGGCTGGTGCAATAGGAGCCTCCACCGCGCAGCAACTTCTGGGTTGGTCGTCTGGGACCTCTCAGGACCATATAGCATTCCCAAGCAAACCCCTAGCCCAGGTAGGTATGCAAAGTGCTCCCCAGGCAGCTTTGCCTTGGAAACGCTAATAGGTAAGCCAGCACACCCAGAACAAATGGAAAACTTGATTCAGCTATTTCTCTGGCTCCAAGGATCTGCTCGCCTTGACAAAGGCAAGGCTGCAAATCGGTGGGCAGGAGTCTGGGGGCTCTCTGCGGCACCCGCTGGAAGGCAAAGTCCCACCGGCCTGGAGCCACGCTAGGTCGAAGCGATGCTGCTTCAGAAATCCCCGCTCGAGCTTCCCGCGCTGGAAACCTCTGGGAGGAATGCGCAGGGCGAGGGATGGAAAACCATCGCCTCTGGTGTGCGGAAACACCCATCAGCCAGAGGCTGGCAAGGGGAGGTCAAAAACCAAAGCGCGAAGAGCGGTGGGGAGAACGTTTTTACATGTGGGACCCCCCCTTTGGGGACTTTGGGGGGCTAAGGGACCGTTAAATGACAGTCCCCCCTCAGCCGCCCCCAGTGTGGGCACACACCTGGGCACCTCCAAAGACATATCCCTAAGGAATCTGGGCTTGGGGAAGGCGGTCCCGAGCCATGCTTCAAACACACCAAACCCCCAAATAATTCAAGCTCTAACCATTGTGGGGGAGACCTAAAGGCTGCTGGGAGCAGGGCATCTGTAAAAGTGCACAGGGAAGGTGTAGGAGCTGCTTTCTGCTCAGTGTCTCCTTGGAATTTTCCTTTCCCTGAGCCATAAATGTGTCAAGATGCCCAAATTTCGCCCAGCAGCGGCGGATCAGCTTTCCCTGGTACATTCCCAGGGCAGGGGGATGCGGTGTCCCTGGTCCCCAGCTGAGTTTCAGGGAGGTTCAGGACTCCGACAACAACTGCAACTTGTGGCGAGGTTTGCCTAAACGTGAGCCCTGCACTCCCTACTCTGATTTAGGACTAACAGTGCTACCTCCAGGAACAGGAGAAAATGAACACCCAAAATCCAGGCTAAAATAACAGCTGAGGGCTTGCAGATACCCCCCCCCGGGGTGGAAACTGGAGGGGAAAACCAGTCCTTTCCCTGGTCTGGTGCACCCCTGGCTATAAGAAGTGATAAAGTAGCCGCGGAGAGTCAGCTCCTTTCTGCTAAGCCCCCCCCAGCCCCGGGACGGGGGCTCCACGGCCACGGACCCCCCCCAGCTT